ACGGCACTCCTCGTCGTACCAGCTGTTCTTTTGTACTTTCCGAAAACCAATGGTTTCGGTTGCGGCTGTACGTAAAGAGTTTGAAATGCTCTCGCACAGTTCCCTTATATCGAGTTGTTGACGAATGCTCTCAGAGAGCAGGAGTGCAAGCAGAGGAGACGCAMGCACATCTAAAACACTGGCGATGTGTCTTCCGTCTATCACAACATGATCGATCTGGTTGGTGGTTTTTCGATCAGACAGCCAGGTAGCTTGATGAATCGTCTTATGCTGGAATCTGGTAGTACTAGATAGATATCCATATTTCGGGCCCGGCGAAGTCGATCAGCCTCAACCCATTTGGGGATGTTTCCTCATGTAGGCAGAATTTACCGACCGTAGTGCCAAAGATACCTTCTTTGCCCACCCTGGCGTTAAAGTCGCCAAGCACGATTTTGACATCGTGGCGGGGGCAGCTCGCATAAGTGCTTTCCAAGCACTCATAAAAGGCATCTTTGGTAACATCGTCCTTCTCTTCCGTCGGGGCGTGGGCGCAAATCAGCGATATGTTGAAGAACCTCGCTTTGATGTGGATTGTGGCTAGACGTTCATTCACCGGGGTGAATGATAGTACTCAGCGACGGAGTCTCTCTCCTACCACGAATCCCACACCAAACTTGCGCTCCTTTATATGCCCACTGTAGCAAATGCCACAAGGACCTACTTGTCTCTGTCCTTGTCCCGTCCATCACATTTCTTGGGCGGCAGTGATGTCAGCCTTTATTTTTACGAGGACATCATCCATTCCAGGTGCATGCCCTCAATTCGTAGTCCTTATTGCGTTTGCCATGGTCGTCATCAAAAGTAGGGTCTCTCATCCGAGGCTGTTGTTGCGTTGCTATTGGGGTGGTTTTTTTTACGTGGCGGGTCCCAAACCCAGCGCACAACCCTATGCGGGGAATGTTTCGCCTTCTCACTTTAGCTCACCTTCAAACGGATGTTCTTAGGCTACCCAGAGGATACTTGGTCAAGCACCGGAAGTCGTGAGCTGCTTGAGTCATATGTAAAAGAATCGTTTCTGGCCACTTCCAAGTGAATGGCGATCAGAAAACTTTCCTCACTTGCTTGAACTTTTACACATGACTCCATCCTCCAAATATAGCTTAATTAGTTTTAAAAATAATGGAATTTAAATGCCCCCTGCTCGTTGATGCATGTCCGGCATCTTACCAAAAAGTTGTTCATTACTGCTTGGAGAGTTGAGACAGGAATAGCCACARTTGTTTCTCGAATGGATTGCCTTAGATCATTCAAATTTGTTGGTTTTGCTTTGTAGACTTCCTGGGAGCAGTTCTGTCATAACAGGTTGGGCTATGTGAGGAGCTGCACCATCTTGCTGAAACCACACAGAGTTGAAAGAAATTCTCATTCGGCGTAATTTTTGATAGAAAAACTCTCTCAACATGCTCAAGTAACGGTCTCCAGTAACCGTAACGGTGTGAC